TCTGCAAGCAAACACTAACCAATTATTTAAAAAAATAGCAGAAATATTCTTGTTTTCTAATGATTTGGTCATCTTACATGTCGTCATTCTTCAAATTAGGATCACCATCGAAAATAATATAAGTTGCATACCATAACCATGCAATATAACATTGATACAATCTAATAAACGTACACAACTCATTGACCCATACATGCCATCACTATGACGTACGACCCATTTCCACGGTTATGTTACTGCTTTAAGCACACTCTCCATAACACAAAAAACAGAAAAAAAGCATCATGTGACTTGCTTCTCATTTCAGATTGTATAATTCCTATTTTGTTTTAATTCAGTTTAAGTATAAAGATCAATGGATAGAATATTGTAAACTTGCACATGTACAATAAGAATGACACTTTAATAGGGTGAAACCAAATCAATATATATGCTGTACTGTATTGTGACACACACACTACTTTTAATACAATAAAACACGTGCATGCATGCATGCCATTACCTTTAATGATGTTTCTAAAGATCTGTGTCCACTTGATAACAAACAAATGAATCAAACAATCTCTACGAGTATGCATGCATTTCAGCAATAATATACGAGTTTTGCTGAAGTTAATTGAAATGTACACTATCATGTTGGTGATATATATCTAAACCGGCGGCGTTATAGAAACAGTATGGCTATCCTAAATTACCATACTTACTTTGAGGTTATTTTCATCAACCTAAATAAGAAAACTACGTGCTTGCCCCTGGCGATTGGTGACACTACGAGTAAATTTATATTTTACTGAAACTCATCAGTACTGCCTGCGTCATTCACCATATCTTCCGAACGTTTATATATTAGTTGCAACAATTAGCAAAATATTTGCATGAAACTTGTCTATGCATTGAACCTAAATTAATAACAAATACGTTAGCGGCAAAATAACGATGGAAATCATCGCGACTATACGGAACTGGTATGACGGTAACAATATGTGAATGCAGCCCGCCTAATTGCATAAGATTTGAGCACCCAAAACCTTAACATAATATTTTTACTTTTGTTTATATTTAGACAGTGTTGGATACATACAGTTCCAATCTTGAAATTCTACTTAGTAGAACATCAGAAAATAATACAAATACATTTCCAAATTTGCCAACAATGTTACTATAGTTTGTACCATTTATTTTCACTGTGTGTGTGATTTTTTTTTTTGAAAAGATCGCTCCTGTTTAATAACATTGTTTAGTTTTCATATACTTGAGTATACTTAATTACATGGCTGGCACTATGTTTGAAAACAAATCTACATTAGAACCAAGCACACTATTAACAACCTCAAACACTCAAAACACTCAACATAATGGGTAAAATTCACAGCAAAACAAAAACACAACTATACCTAATCCGCCGTTTGTGCTCTGTTTGCGTTGGCCGCTGGCTACTTTAAAGACTATTATATCGTTTCATAGTTACTATGGCATGTATATGTAGGTTTACTATATTTTATTTCGATTTACAAATGCCATACAAATGTGACGCTCAAATTACATTTTTTTCGGAACAAACACTGTCGTAAGTAAACGTATGCATCGTCGTGGAAAGAACTATTATTGACTGAACAATCTTTTTTTATTATGTCACTGTGCAAAAATAAAAACCACACGTTGAATCAGCAAACGTGTACATACACGTATTTCTTTAACATTCAATCAGGATATCTTTATTAAACCACTAAAACTACATTAATTACATCCATGTGAAAACAGAAAACATCCCGGACAAAAGCCTCCTCGCCAATAAAATACCTGGTAATTGGACAAGCAACATTCATTTCAAAGCCTTTATTCTATCGCAAAACTTGCACTAACACGTTTTTGTCCCCACTTTAAATGTTTTATAATTAAAAACATAAATTCTTTTTCTTAAAATCGCAAATGAGTTTTTAAAATATTAAAAAAAAATCACTGTTTGTGGTAAAACATTTAAAGTTTCCCTACTTTTAATCTGCATAATTACGAAACGTGTATATGATGAAAAGTGTTTTTGATTCAACATTTCAGGAATGTTTTTGCACATAACACATTATGTAAAGTGTTTTCAATAGAAACAAACACGTTTCGAAAATTATTAAAAAGTGTTTATTATCACAACACTTTTAAAAGTGATTTATTAGACACCAGGCATACATTTTGTAAAGTGTGTTCACCGGGATAATGTATTGAAAAGTGCTTATTATCATAACACTTTTAAAAATGATTCTACTATAAACAAACTTGTGTTTATGATCACGGTACGAGGAATCGTATCTAAACTTGGGACATATTTAAAACATTTAAAAGTACATATGTTGTAAAAAAAATAACAACAATCGCATGAAAAAGTTTTCTGGACTGTGCTGCTAAATAAGTTTGTTTACTGAAATTCCAACTTCAAATTCTTGAAACTGTAGATATAATGCCCAATAATTGTGAACATAGACAATTCAAAACAGATAAGTAAAGAACTGAAACGAAATGAACAATAAAATCTTTACATTCTTTCTCCATTGACGTAAATCAAAATGCCCAATCCCCCCCCTGTGGTATTGTTGTTCCGAATAAAGTATCCCGGTCACATTACATTTCTGGGAAAAACAAAACTAATAGTGGGACAAATAACAAATCATTAGTTTGGGAGAAACGAGCTCTCCCTAGAAATAAATTCACTTGCAATCTCATTCTCACTAAATTCTCGAATCTGTATATATCCATTTTATTCCATTCCATTCATCCTTCAATTTTCTATCCGTCTGGTTTGATTGTTTATTTTCCCAATTTTTTTAAAATCCCGTGGTATTTTTAAAACTACATTTTCCTAAGATCTTCTTACATAGGAGACGAAACAGTGAACCAACAATAATTCATATTAACAGGACAAAATTTATTCTCAATATTGGCAATATCATTTCGTCCGCTGTGATTTTTTTCTTAAAATCTGAAAAGTATAATATTTTCAAATTCTAGTAAGTAATATTTAATTAATTATCATTTGAGTTTCAAGCAATGCGATATTTAAATCAAAAATATTTTATGTAATAAATACTATTATAATACACTTGTCACCGTAACGCCATAAATTCCAGCGTGCCGCAATTTTGCGGTATTTTACAGGGTGTTTTCATTCTACCATATAAGGAAATGCGAATTCTATATATGAAATGATTACGCGCATAAGCGTACGCTAATAATAAAAATAAACATGGCTGCCAACATGGTTTGACCGGGCTCCACACAAATAACTTCGCTGATTTTGGAATTTCGACATTCCCATTATATATCATTGGAAAGAAACGATTATATTAAGGTTATTACGAGGATACCGTAAAGTGTGCAGTCAGACAGCACGCAGTCGCATCGACCTCCGCTGCGAGTCAGATGATACTCCCGCTGTACTGTCTTCGTGCATACTTTGCGGTATCCGCATAATAACCTCATATTATTGTTATAAAGTAATGTGAAAACGAACACATAAACAAAAACCATTAACACAAAGGCAACAGTGTTTTCCTGTTATTTTCAATTTCTATAATTTTATTTTGCAATTGTAGTAAGAAACTTGAGTTTAATCAGATATCGTAACAGCCCGAACATAATGAAATAAATGGAGGCCGCTGAAAAAACCAAAACAGTACGTAACTGCCGAATCTATCAATTAAACTTTCCACACGTTTCGTAACGGAGTAATAATATCATCATACCTTCAAGTTTATTTAGCATAACTAACGTTTCATTTCTTTCCTCAGAACATCTAAATAGAAACATTCGGTCCACGTTACTGTTGCTTGTTAAACGAATATGCCACCTGTACACATACTTTACGCATTAACATTAACACGAACATACATTAACTTATGAAACATTTATATTTACAGTTTTCGGGGAAAATATTTAAATCACACGTGAGAATGCTAAGTACACGAGGTACACAATTTACCGCGTGCCTAGATACCAGCTGTACTCATAGGTTGGTAAGACATAAGCGTTTACAATTAGTTCTTCCACAACCTGGTGCTTGACATATTTTCTGGAGGTAATGTAATGACTCATCTCATTGTGCATTGAATTACACTCATTTTGTTGATTATCCAGCTAGCATTATACCATAATGTTTTCTTACAAGTCCCCAGTTCGAGTCTCAGACTATAGTTAGTACTGCTTGCAGAACACTCTATTGACACATTTATTTCCCGGTAAAACACGGAAGAAAAAGGTGTATTTGTTTGTGTTTACAATATTCTCAATTTTCAATCAAACTGTGTTTAAATAACTTCCAAAACACGTTTTCACAAAATAATAGAACACTAGTGTTTAGATAGAAAATACATGTGTTTTATAACATAGTGCACATGTTTTTAATTCTACTTTCAATTAAAACGGTGTGTTCTTAATTCTTAATATATTTCGGAATTTTCTTTACAATTTTTGTTGTCCGGAAAACATCACAGATTTTGTTATCGTCGTATTTCCACTATTATTAAACTACCAACATATCGGAATTTGTGTATTCGTGTATCGAACACTACCGTAATAGCCTTTACGCTTTGTGTCTGGGTCGAAGTATTCTAGATATAAATTCCGCTATGTTAGCATAATTTATCACAAAAAGTTTGCTTTATAACATGTATTTGTTAACATGGCTTTATTGAATAATCAGTTTAAAAATATACATATCACAACAAGCTAGAGTATGCCTCTATTTAGAGGTCAGTTTGACCAGCCGCATGAATGGCTTTTTAATTAGTTCTAATAATCGTCATTAATTACTAAGCTTAAAACATCACATTCGAGCAAAACACATCTAACTACTCTTCATTCAAACTTTCCACTGAGGAAGATTCATTGTCGGTGCCGTCTGGTTATATAGAATAATTACCTTAATTCTCTTTTATGGTAAGTATTAAATATAACCATTTTCATACATAATATGCGTTGGTTGTGATTATTTATTCATTTAGTATATAATACATTTAATCAGTTCTGTACATGAAATACACAAATGTCGGCACCTGCGTATAAGACATATGAAGGTAATAATTGTGAGACGTACTAAACCCATTTACTTAAATTAAAGTATATAACTTAATATTTATTATTAATTGCATTGAAGTTAGACTGATATGAGTATTATTTTTATCGTTCATATATGAACGAGTAGTCGAAAGTAGTACAAGATGTGATAGCGGAATGGCCAAGAAATATACAATGCATAACAATGTTGAACTTCGTCAGTAATATCATGCACGTCAGAATGACTTTTGTCAGATTTTCGTCTACTGGTTTACGAGAATAATTCTATTTTTAAGTGATTCTAACTATGATTTATGTCACAGCAAAACTGTTTGTCATTATAGATGTTTTCGGTGCACTTTATTTATTTATTTATTTATTTATTTATTTATTTATTTATTTATTTATTTATTTATTTATTTATTTATTTATTTGTTTATTTACGTTTTTATTGGTCAGGTAAATGTATATATACATCGTTCGTCTA